GTTTATGGATTGCTCTTCCTGTGTGTTAGCGTTGGCTTCCTGGTAGGCTAGCGTATTCCTAAGCCTGCCGGCGAATATGCGCCTTAATTCCCACCTCTAATTTTTCCTGGCGCTCGTGGTGTGTGTTCAAATGCTTTGGCACCCATCAACATGGATGCTACAAACGGCTTACTGTGCTTATCCACATGTGATGCGCTTAAATTCCGATATCGCTGTATTCGTGCGCCCTGTCGGTTTGTCGTCGAGCAGCAGCAGCATTTTACAAATTTCAGTATATTATGGGCGAAAGTGTGCCGCCTCCGTCGCAGCAGCAGCAGCAGCAGCAAGTTGGAGCGGCGACTGGGCCGCGTTTCCGCATTGTGCCTGGGCCTGTCCTAGCCGAGAATAGCCGCACAAATGTATCTCGAGGCATCACTGCAATGCCCTCTCCGGTAACTTCTACAGATTCCTTCAAATGAATTTTTATGCGTTTTTTGCAGCTGTGCAATGCGAAAAACGCATATTGACGAGAGGTTGTCAGTGTGTGTGCGCAGGGCCTCTGTAACGATTTTTCATCTCGAGACCCACAAAAGCTACAGGGCTGAAACTTTGGGGACTTAGTCTACATGCACGTACGGGCCCCCACCCCCAAAATGGGCGGTCTTTCTCGCGTGGTACCCGAGACGTTAAAGCCCGCCAAAGAGTAAGCTGATAACTCGCGAACTAGAAAAGCTAGTGAGCTGAAATTTTATGGAAATGTTCCCCATCCAAGTAGGTACTAATGAGCTCAAACCCAGCCCCCGGGTATGCGTGGTACCCGCGTACGAGCCTGCCAAAATTTTCCCCGCGTAAGTTCATAACTTGTGGCCCTAAAATGCTAGAAAGCTGAAATTTTGAGGAAATGTTCTCCGTCCAAGTATATGCTAATGTGCTCAAACCCAACCCCCGGGTAAGCGTGGTACTCGCGTACGGGCCCGCCAAAATTTTTTACGGGTAAGCTGCTAACTCGCGAACCAGAAAAGTTAGAAAGCTAAAATTTTAAGGGAATGTTCCCCGTCCAAGCAGGTACTAATGAGCGCAAACTCAACCCGCGGGTAAGCGTGATACCCGCGTATGGGCCCGCCAAAACTTTTCCCGGGCAAGTTCATAACTCGGGGATCTGAGATGCTGGAAAATTGTAACATTAAGAGGGTGTTTCTCGTCCACATTAGTTTCGGTGAAATCAAGCCCAACCCTTGGCATGCGTGGTACCTACGCACGGGTCCACCAAATTTTTTCTCGGGTAACCCCATAACTCGAGAACCTGTAAAGCTAAAAGACTGTAGTTTTAGAAAGATGTTCCCCGTCCAAGTAAATCTCAACTACCTCAAACCCAGACATCGGGTATGCGAGTGCGGGCTTGTGAAAAATTTTTTTTAATAAATTGCTAACTCAGGAGTCAGGAAAGCTAGAGAGCTGAAATTTTAAGGAGGTGTTTCCTGCCAGTTTTGGCGGCCAGTCTTAATTTGTTTAGCTGGAAGGAATTGCCGAAAAAACCGATGCCGGTGATGACAAAAACTGCGGGGAACTAAGCAAAAAACGATCGTAGTACGGACAGCCCGTAAGTTGGCCAATTTTAGCATATGTGAAAGACACGTGACAACCTGATATCTTCCACCTGATTTTCATTTCATCATTATCACCAATGAGCACGTTAGCTAAATGTAAAGCAACAACCATTCATATAGTTAACGACCTGATTGCTTCAGTTTTTGCGTAAAAATGCACGATCGCACCGGCCAGCCGGCCTTTACAACTCTTCACCAAGTACTCAGTTTCTACCATCCTTTTTTTTTAAATCTTTTCGAAAAAAGCCAACAACAATTGTCTAGTGTGATGTTCGATCGTTTGTTGTCCCACCGTGAAGTCCCTTCACGCCACCAGCGCATCTGCGCAGCTTTTGCGTGTTTCTTCTTTCCGTCGTTTTAGTCTAGACGTCGGCGTCTTTCTTTCTGGGATTTGCACGTTGTGTCCCCTCGGTCATTTGCAGCCTGGTTGTTCAATCCATTTGTTTTGGGCCCATCCGATTCCCTTCATAACAGCCACAAGCTGCAGAAGTAGCTGTGCTAAAATGTAATTTTACAGAAATTTTTTAAGGGCACCTTGTCCTGAGTACGGTTGTATCTAGTTCCGTACTACCAGATGACCATTTGGCTCAGGCTGCAAAATTTTGAAAATTGCCTAGTTATTTTGCATTTTTTTTCTGATAATTTTTTAGGATTTTATGCACGAAATAAGTTCACATCCAGTGAATATTGCATCTGTTGCAGATGACGGCGCCATCTTTTGGTCAGCAGGGAGCGGAGATGCAGATGCGCACTTCGCAGTATGTCATGCTAGGACAGGGTAAGAACTTTGTGCATGCATTTTGCTAGTACCTTTTTATGCGTTTTGTGCTGTGTAACAGCGTTACAAAACTCATATTGTCACGGGTTTGTCTGTGTGTGTTTGTGTGTGTGTCCGCAGCAATTTGTCCGCAACTTTCAACTCGGGAACCACA